ATACTCTTATAGGTATGTGATTGTATCTGACTGTACCAGGTCCTTGGAGATAGAGACTGAGATAGAATGTATACTCTTACAGGTGTGCGGGTGGCGAAGTTTTACTTTCTGACACGTTGACTTTTATGTCCCCCCTTTTTGTCCCACCTTCCATTCCGGTTTTTTAAGTGACTGTTTTTCTTTGTGTTTGTTCCTTAGTGATCATGATGAAATCAGAACGTGTCACCAAAGTGTCTGACGTAAAACCACAGTCCGAGCGAAGTGTTTAAAGTCTGTGTAGAAGAATACATGTTGGAGATTTTGTAGGCTGTTAACGTGATCACTACTTGGGTAGGCTACTGTAACGTCTGTTGAAGTAGACGCTTCTCCACATACTAAACATTCGTCAACAGAATTCGTGCTGTTTTCTAACATTACCGCTGTCGTATTTCTCCAGGTATGAATCCTCCGTCTCGTCAATCGAGTCTTTACTCTGCAGACAGCGTGGTGGCCCCGACCTATAACATCGACGCTTTATCCCTGCCTAAGACGCCGACCACGCTGATCAGGTCCCGTACACCGTCTCACAGCCTGCAGTCCCCGAGAGCCCGCAGTAATAGCTGGCGCAGTATGAGGTCTAACTGGAGCGAGCTGATCCGCCTGGCCAAGGAGGGCTCTGACTCTGAGGACAGCGTATTTGAGGCTGGTGAAGAACAGTGAGTATTCTAATACAGTAGATTATGTCCGTAGTCACATCATCAAATGAGAACGTTATAATTGATATTAATTAAGGGATGGGTACTGTAGTTAAATACTTAGCATACCCAAGATTTGTTCTGAGGAAAAAAATAAAGAGAGCGAAATCGCACCTCTCGGCACGGTCAACTTAGATACATGTATAAATGTTAATTTACTGACAGTTTCACCAGACTCTTTTGTGTTGTCGGGACTCAAATTGAAAGATGGTCTAAACACCAAAACCAATAAGTGGAACCCACATGACTCTCACATGACTGTCACATGACTGTCACATAACAAGGGCGCACGACTTGCCTGTCACATGACGAGAGCACGACTTGGTAGACGTACATGTATAACACATGACTCTCACATGACTGTCACATGACGGGAGCACGACTTGGTAGACGTGTAACACATGACTGTCACATGACGGGAGCACGACTTGGTAGACGTGTAACACATGACTGTCACATGACGAGAGCACGACTTGGTAGACGTGTAACACATGACTGTCACATGACGAGAGCACGACTTGGTAGACGTGTGAAACATGATTATCATATGACGAGAGCACGTCTTTGTAGACATGTGTAACAAATGATTATCACGTGACTGTCACATAAAAATAACACGACTTGACTATCACAGGACGACAGTACAACTAAACACCCAAATTCAGCAATAGGCCTAAAGACCATATGCCCACAAAGAAAAAAATGATTTCTGGACTTCTCAGTATAGCGTTTGTGTGATTACGGAATGAATATACAATTCCTTACTGTTTTGTAACCAAACAATTATCCACACCACTCTCGGCTTTATTGCGAAATGTAGCGTTTAAAAACAGTGTCACGTACTGTCCTTTATACGGATTGATACATACGTTATTTGAATATTTTGTCTCAAAAGTACAAGCAGTTTCCACTTTAAAAACGGCAGCCAGTAAACACGTTGTACTACACAGCATTTAAAGAGTGATTTGGTTTGTTTCGCGCTTATTTCCCATAAGCTGGTACCGAATGTATTGGCCACGTAGGTATCTTCTGGTATCTAAATCAAGGACATCTATGGATTGCAGATTAAATTATGTAGAACTTTGAAAACAGAGGATATAGTATCGTTGCTTTGTACACTGATATTTCTTTAATGTGTCTCATAACACAATGAAACCTTTTCATAGGTAACACAGGTATCTTCGTGTTTTCAGACATTCATCTCATGCGAAAACATGTTGTGGAATCACACTCGATACACAGTAGAGACTATTTTTCGGGTGGATAGGTTGCTAACACCTATATAGGATATTTTGATAAGTGATTCTGACATTAATGTCGTGTTTTATTTTGAAGGGCTTATCTTTAACTTCAAGTAACGTATGCTACTTATAACTGGCGCCACATACTGTTAATTCCCTAAAAATAAATTAAGCAAACTGTCACAGTTAGATGTTTATTAGATTTTTATTTTATATTTATGACACAGAGCTCTATAAAATAAAGGCAGCATGCATAATAACAACGTCCCGGCAATGATCTAAACCAAAAAGTCTTTGACAGGCGTCAGTAACGTATGCATGGTTTTGGAAGATCAAAATGATAATTGCTGACTGGAGAACTAAATACTGTGCATATAACCATATGTGCTATATACTCAACCATTTTACACACACACACACAATGGTTATCGTTATGAAATTTGTATATACTTTTAAGGATTTTTGTAGAACAGAATGGACACAGTTCTGCTTCTTATTACTGATAATGAGTGTTGGCAAACGTGAATTACGTCAGCGCACAGACTCAACCAGACTGATGCTTGCAAAGTTCAGAGGACTCTAAGAACGACATTTCGACGCCGTTAACGATTCCCCGCAGCTTACGTATCTATCCATCTATCTATCCATGTACTATCTATCATGTGAAAGATGATGTATGTACATGTCTACGTGAAAACACGTATTCATGCAGGTATTGAGAGAGCGAGAGAGATTCCTGTGTACATTTATCATAGATAACAAGTCAATATGATAATAACAAGTCAATAACATATGAAATAGGCTCATTTGGAAAATCGAATGATCTCGTTCACTAATTTAGATAAGGTAGATTGCTGTTCGTTTTATAGGTCTCTGCTGAACAGATAGCATCGAGTCTGTTTGTAGCAGTTTTGCTTTCATCTATTACTCAAACCAATTGACAGAAGATGGGATTGTAAATCCATATTAGCATGGCACATAATTATCCTAGCATTGACTTCATTCGGTTCTCATCACATTGCGCGAATAATGAAACCGCAGTTATATTGATTGTGATGACACAAGCTCCCTATACCACAGCATTTGACTTGTGTGCGAGCACGCCGTTAACGAGATAGGCTGTGAAGGAAACGCTTTATAGCCAGATTTAATGTGTGTCAAAATAATTCAATTTTTGTATGTCAAAATTCATACTTATTTTTCTAGATTTTTAATTGGGTATCTGCAGTACATTAGCTTTCAGCCAAGATGTATTTATCTCAGTGAAGATTGACATGAGGATGTGTCCTGATGGGTTTAATGTAATACTGTAAATTATTGTAACCGCCAAATTATGTCCCTTCCTCTCTGTAATGAACCTTTTCCTTCTCCTTCTCTCTCTCTGTCTCCTCTTCATTCCAGGAGAGCGTCAGTGTCTGGGTTGAGTGAGGCACTCAGTGAGCGTTTGCACGAGCTGGTGGTGGCCTTCCAGTCCAGAACAGAGCGCACCAAAGAGATGCTAGCACAGCAGGCGACACCCTCCTCTAGTCCCGGTCCATTCTCTGGTAAGTCTGAACATACCATGCTCTAGTCCCGGTCCATTCTCTGGTAAGTCTGAACACACTGTCCTCTTGTCCCGGTCCGTTCTCTGGTAAGTCTGAACACACCATGCTCTTGTCCCGGTCCATTCTCTGGTAAGTCTGAACACACTGTCCTCTAGTCCCGGTCCAATCTCTGGTAAGTCTGATCACACCGTCCTATAGACTGGGACACATAGCTAAAAGTACCCGGATTCAAATAGATCTGAATCTGCGCTTTGCGACACTGCATATATTCATTGCGTCTTTTCTGTTTTTTATGCTTAAACCATCATTATAGTTGTGACCTTAGATTGTTCCATAGCTCTAAGATTCAAGGTCTCTGTAACTTGTGATTGGCTGACTCAGACTCTCGCTCTCCATTTAACTGGCACTTTTGGAGATATTGGTATTATTGGAAAGCTATGTACTTTTTTTGACATCAGGCTTGATACTAACGAATATAAAGTTTGTTCTATTCCCCCATATGGTACATACTGTATATTACATATAGGAACTTCAACTGCCCATATCTCAAAATTGCTTAATTGGAGTTAAACGTTTTATTGGATTCGACCCGGCGTATAGCATTACTTATTCACATTTTTTATGCGTGAACCAATTGTTTTTTGACCTCATATTCATTTCATTATTGATACATAATGCCTTTCAAATATAAGCACCGCCTGTCTGTAATGTAAACTTCAATAATGCTCCATATTTAAAGTAACAAATTTCTCATTGCCAATTTAACAACACGAATCTTGGAGAGTTCCGAAGTAATCAAAGTTTTAAGATAATAACTTGGTCACTTTGATTTCAAATCTAAAATAATACAATCTACCTTTTAGTCCCTTGTTAAGGCAGCGAAGATGTCGTTATCTAACAACTGTCAAGAAATTTAACCTGAAGATTTAGCGACGACACCCCGCAAAGAGACCCCGTTATAAGACAAGTGTCACGTGAGACGGACCCTTGGGTTATCTCATTGGCAACTGAACATACAATACAATGCAATCCGGACCCTTGGGTTCTCATTGGCAACTGAACATACAATACAATACAACCCGGACCCTTGGGTTCTCATCGGCAATTGAACATACAATACAATACAATCTGGACCCTTGGGTTCTCATTGGCAACTGAACATACAATACAATACAACCCGGACCCTTGGGTTATCTCATTGGCAACTGAACATACAATACAATACAACCCGGACCCTTGGGTTATCTCATTGGCAACTGAACATACAATACAATACAATACAACCCGGACCCTTGGGTTCTCAATACAAATGATTCTGAAGAGTAATTATTATCTCATAAAACAGTATTCATCGTGTGCTTGTTTATCTCTTCTTTATTTTACATTTTACTTTTTCTGTTGTCTGATTTTTTATGTACAGACACAGATGTGTCTGTACATATTGCCATCACCTGCGTCNGCAGAGAGCGTGGTGGCCCCCACCTATAACATCGACGCTCTATCCCTGCCTAAGACGCCGACCACGCTGATCAGGTCCCGTACACCGTCTCACAGCCTGCAGTCCCCGAGAGCCCGCAGTAACAGCTGGCGCAGTATGAGGTCTAACTGGAGCGAGCTGATCCGCCTGGCCAAGGAGGGCTCTGACTCTGAGGACAGCGTATTTGAGGCTGGTGAAGAACAGTGAGTATTCTAATACAGTAGATTATGTCCGTAGTCACATCATGAGAACGTTATAATTGATATTAATTAAGGCATGGGTACTGTAGTTAAATACTTAGCATACCCAAGATTTGTTCTGAGGAAAAAAATAAAGAGAGCGAAATCACACCTCTCTGCACGGTCAACTTAGATACATGTATAAATGCTAATTTACTGACAGTTTCACCAGACTCTTTTGTGTTGTCGGGACTCAACTTGAAAGATGGTCTAAACACCAAAACCAATAAGTGGAACCCACATGACTGTCACATGACTGTCACATGACTGTCACATAACAAGGGCGCACGACTTGCCTGTCACATGACGGGAGCACGACTTGGTAGGCATGTGGAACACATGACCGTCACTTGACGAGAGCACGACTTGGTAGACGTACATGTATAACACATGACTCTCACATGACTGTCACATGACTGTCACATGACGGGAGCACGACTTGGTAGACGTGTAACACATGACTGTCACATGACGGGAGCACGACTTGGTTGACGTGTAACACATGACTGTCACATGACGATAGCACGACTTGGTAGACGTGTAACACATGACTGTCACATGACGAGAGCACGACTTGGTAGACGTGTGAAACATGATTATCATATGACGAGAACACGTCTTTGTAGACACGTGTAACAAATGATTATCACGTGACTGTCACATAAAAATAACACGACTTGACTATCACAGGACGACAGTACAACTTAACACCCAAATTCAGCAATAGACCTAAAGACCATATGCCCACAAAGAAAAAAATGATTTCTGGACTTCTCAGTATAGCGTTTGTGTGATTACGGAATGAATATACAATTCCTTACTGTTTTGTAACTAAACAATTATCCACACCACTCTCGGCTTTATTGCGAAATGTAGCGTTTAAAAACAGTGTCACGTACTGTCCTTTATACGGATTGATACATACGTTATTTGAATAGTTTGTCTCAAAAGTACAAGCAGTTTCCACTTCCAAAACGGCAGCCAGTAAACACGTTGTACTACACAGCATTTAAAGAGTGATTTGGTTTGTTTCGCGCTTATTTCCCATAAGCTGGTACCGAATGTATTGGCCACGTAGGTATCTTCTGGTATCTAAATCAAGGACATCTATTGATTGCAGATTAAATTATGTAGAACTTTGAAAACAGAGGATATAGTATCGTTGCTTGTGTACGCTGATATTTCTTTAATGTGTCTCATAACACAATGAAACCTTTCCATAGGTAACACAGGTATCTTCGTGTTTTCAGACCTTCATCTCATGCCAAAACATGTTGTGGAATCACACTCGATACACAGTAGAGACTAGTTTTCGGGTGGATAGGTTGATAACACCTACATGTATATAGGATATTTTGATAAGTGATTCTGATATTGTTGTCGTGTTTTATTTTGAAGGGCTTATCTTTAACTTCAAGTAACGTATGCTACTTATAACTGGCGCCACATACTGTTAATTCCCTTAAAAATAAATTAAACAAATTGTCAGAGATGTTTATTAGATTTTTATTTTATATTTATGACACAGAGCTCTATAAAATAAAAGCAGCATGCATAATAACAACGCAAAATGGACGTCCCGCAATGGTCTAAACCAAAAAGTCTTTGACAGGCGTCACTAACGTATGTATGTTTTTGGAAGATTAAAATGATAATTGCTGCCTGGAGAACAAAATACTGTGCATATAACCATATGTGCTATATACTCAACCATTTTACACACATACACACACACGCACACACATATGTACAATGGTTATCGTTATGAAATTTGTGTATACTTTTAAGGATTTTTGTAGAACAGAATGGACACAGTTTTGCCTCTTATTACTGATAATGAGTGTTGGCAAACGTGAATTACGTCAGCGCACAGACTCAACCAGACTGATGCTTGCAAAGTTCAGAGGACTCTAAGAACGACATTTCGACGCCGTTAACGATTCCCCATAGCTTACAAAACTATCCATTTATCTATCCATGTACTATCTATCGTGTGAAAGATGATGTATGTACATGTATACGTGAAAACTTGTATTCCCAGTGTATTCATGCAGGCATTGAGAGAGCGAGAGAGATTCCTGTGTACATTTATCATAGATAACAAGTCAATATGATGAGGTAGGAATAACATATGAAATAGGCTCATTTGGAAAATCGAACGATCTCGTTCACTAATTTAGATAAGGTAGATTGCTGTTCGTTTTATAGGTCTGAACAGATAGCATCGAGTCTGTTTGTAGCAGTTTTGCTTTCATCTATTACTCAAACCAATTGACAGAAGATGGGATTGTAAATCCATATTAGCATGGCACATAATTACCCTAGCATTGACTTCATTCGATTCTCATCACATTGCGCGAATAATGAAACCGCAGTTATATTGATTGTGATGACACAAGCTCCCTACACCACAGCACTTGGCTTGTGTGCGAGCACGCCGTTAACGAGACTGGCTGTGAAGGAAACGCTTTAAAGCCAGATTTCATGTGTGTTAAAATAATTCAATTTTTGTATGTCAAAATTCATACTTATTTTTCTAGATTTTTAATTGGGTATCTGCAGTACATTAGCCAGCTTTCAGCCAAGATGTACATGTATTTATATCAGTGAAGATTGAAAGGAGGATGTGTCCTGATAGTGTAAATTATTGTAACCACCAAATTATGTCCCTTCCTCTCTGTAATGAACCCTTTCCTTCTCCTTCTCTCTCTGCCTACTCTTCATTCCAGGAGAGCGTCAGTGTCTGGGTTGAGTGAGGCACTCAGTGAGCGTCTGCACGAGCTGGTGGTGGCCTTCCAGTCCAGAACAGAGCGCACCAAAGAGATGCTAGCACAGCAGGCGACACCCTCCTCTAGTCCCGGTCCGTTCTCTGGTAAGTCTGAACACACCATCCTCTAGTCCCGGTCCGTTCTCTGGTAAGTCTGAACACACCATCCTCTTGTCCCGGTCCATACTCTGCTAAGTCTGAACACGGCGTCCTATAGACTGGGACACATAGCTAAAAGTACCCGGATTCAAATAGATCTGAATCTTGCGTGCTTTGCGACACTGTATATATTCATTGCGCCTTTTCTGTTTTTTATGCTTAAATCATCATTATAGTTGTGACCTTAGATTGTTCCATAGCTCTACGATTCAAAGTCTCTGTAACTTGTGATTGGCTGACGCAGACTCTCGCTCTCCATTTTACTGGCACTTTTGGAGATATTGGTATTATTGGAAAGCTATGTACTTTTTTTGACATCAGGATTGATACTAACGAATTGAAGTTTTTTCTACTCCCCCATATGGTACATATATTACATATAGAAACTTCAACTGCCCATATCTCAAAATTGCATAATTGGAGTTTTAAAAACGTTTCATTGGATTCGACCCGGCGTATAGCATTACTTATTCACACTTTTTTATGCGTGAACCAATTGTTTTTTGACCTCTTATATTCATTTCATTATTGATACATAATGCCTTTCAGATATAAGCACCGCCTGTCTGTAATGTAAACTTCAATAATGCTCCTTATTTAAAGTAACAAATTTCTAATTGTCTCCTTGATGAAAGAACGGTTCATGCCGCACGCCAATTTTACAACACGAATCCTGGAGAGTTCAAAAGTAACCAAAGTTTTAAGATAATAACTTGGTCACTTTGCTTTCAAATCTAAAATAATACAATCTACCTTTTAGTCCCTTGTTAAGTCAGCGAAGATGTCGTTATCTAACAACTGTCGAGATATTTAACCTGAAGATTTAGGGACGACCCTTGGGTTCTAATTGGCAACAGAACATACAATACAATAAAACCCGGATCCTTGGGTTCTCATTGGCAACTGAACATACAATACAATACAACCCAGACCCTTGGGTTACCTCATTGGCAACTGAACATACAATACAATACAACCCGGACCCTTGGGTTATCTCATTGGCAACTGAACATACAGTACAATACAACCCGGACCCTTGGGTTCTCATTGGCAACTGGACATACATTACCATACAACCCGGACCCTTGGGTTCTCATTGGCAATACAATACAAATGATTCTGAAGAGAAACCATTATCTCATAAAACAGAATTCATCGTGTGCTTGTTTATCTCTTCTTTACTTTATATTTTACTTTTTCTGTTGTCTGATTTTTTTAATATGCATGTTGCGTAGAGTGTTAGTATATTGTTGGGGACCAGAGTCCAAGACCCCCAAGGAAACTCTGTCTAAAAGTATGGAGAGTAGAATGAACATTCTGTGTTTCCGTAGAGTGCTCCAATGCCTTAGAGGACTATCCTCCAGTGGCTCGACGTCGTCTGGACTCGTTCATTCCTGGCTCCCGACTGAGTGGCACCAGTCACACTGAGGACGTCCACGAGGCTCACGTGGTGTGTGGGCGGTGTCACGTGACGGTGCCCCGCTCTCTCTATTGGCTCACCACAGGAATCGATCCGCAATGTAAGTAGGGTTTAAACATGAGTTTTTATGACAAGTTTTTATGGGGCTTGAAAATTTGAAAATTGCTCTCTCCATGCTTGATTTTTGTCCCAGGTTGCTTTGCAAAGGCCTCACGGACTTAACGTCGTCGTGTATATATTGAATTTGTGTTCTATCTTTGAAGATTTATTTAGTTTCGGACAATGCTATTTAGTAAAGAACTGGCCTTCTACATATCTGATATGTGTCCAACAATGGCTCTGATTACTCTTGAAGATTTTGGTGCGGTTTAACCAAAGCTGCAACAGACTGGAACTGCTTGTACTCAGTAATGGATATTTCAAAACCTTTAGAAAAACATTTTCATTTAGTCCGTCAATTATTGTTTGATTTCACAGGCAGTACATTTTGACGTTTACATATATTAGACTGTCGAGATCAGCAATTTTCTATGTGTAGCACTTCATCTTATTCAATCAATTTAGAAAAAAGAAAATGATCCCCATTTACCTTGGTGGGTACATTATTGTTTATTTGGAAGATAAATTGGGTGTCTTCAATGATTTTGGTAATTGACGTCCACATCGTCAATCAACAGTGATCTTCATTTAAATTTACAGCAAAAAGTTACATTATTTGGCTGTTCCTGGTTACTCTGTGTTTCGTATATAACGTGTGGAGTATTCCTCTGCGGGCTACGTTCCCATACCAAACAGAAGAAAACCTCAGTTACTGGCTCAGCATGGACTATGCATGTGATATCATCTACGTCATCGACATCATATGTGTGAAAACCAGGATCAAATTTCTAAGAGATGGACTTCTAGAGGTAGGTGCACGTCTCTGACTACAGGTACGGTCAATTCTGTGTTCTAGTGTTCCTGTGCGGTTGTTATATGCGTAATCAACTGTAAATTGGAATATAGAGCTGGCATCCCTGGTCAGAAAGCAGTGTGTGTGTGTGTGTTTGTGTGTGTATGTGTGTGGGGGGGGGGAGGGGGGTTTTTCCTTATGCTTTCGTACTGCTACATATTTGTATTTACTATATATTCAACATAGCAAGTCTTCATTGCAAAGCATTTAAATTGTATGTCTTTTCCTAATGTGGTATATGTGAAGATGTGAGTGTATGTTTAGGCAGATCACCCGGTAACAAGTCTTACCTGTGGACATGGAGCAGGCCCCAGCCTAATCCAGGCAGATAATACATCCTTCCTGGCTCAGTATAATGCTCGGAATAATAATAATAATAATAATAATAATAAAATTATTCCCAATTGCACCTTGGTCAAAAAGACTTTAGAACCCATCGAATTTTTATTGGGACCGCAACATATACTATTCCTGATCCTACAATAATATGTGCTATATGTACCAGCCACGCTTTATATAAGTGTCCTTTATTAAGAAAGACTATTCCTGATCCTACAATAATATGTGCTATATGTACCAGCCACGCTTTATATTAGTGTCCTTTATTAAGAAAGACTATTCCTGATCCTACAATAATATGTGCTATATGTACCAGCCACGCTTTATATAAGTGTCCTTTATTAAGAAAGACTATTCCTGATCCTACAATAATATGTGCTATATGTACCAGCCACACTTTATATTAGTGTCCTTTATTAAGAAAGACTATTCCTGATCCTACAATAATATGTGCTATATGTACCAGCCACACTTTATATTAGTGTCCTTTATTAAGAAAGACTTGCTCCTTCCTTGTACTTACATCTTCTGTCATGTGTAAAAACTTTTTTAATGTTGTGCATAAAATACATGTAACCAGTATGCTACAAACAAGGCAGCAAAGCTGTCAAATGTACAGACAAAAAACAGAAAATAAAGATGCAAAATAGATCATTTTGTCAATTTTGATGCAATAATAAATAATGCTTATAATAGCACTGTCAGTCAACACTGAATTTTAATCATGCACAACAGGTAACATGGTCAATAACAGGAGTGGACCCAGAGATATTTTCTGACAGTATTCCAAAGAATCTATGTTGATCCATCCTCCATTTTGATGGTCTTCCAACAGAAAAAAATAGATACCAGTCAATATAAACTTAAAAACCTGACCATCTTCCGGAAGACCCAGTAGATGGTCTCAATCCACCCTTTCAATAAGATTACAGTTTCAGGACCATGAGAGTTCAAATTCACACGATGAAAGTCCCAATATTTGAAAAATTATGACAGTGCATAAAATAATATTACATAATGTTTAAAGATATAAAAACCAATACAACTGCTTATGTGGAAATACAGAAAATATAGAAAATGTGCAGATGCCAGTGTTTGAGAAAAAATTAATAAGGAAAACATAACAAAACTAGAAAAGCACTCTGAGAGCGCAGACCTCTGCCAAGGCAGCAATTTTTGATTATTATTGATTATTGATAGATTATTGATCCGAACCACCACTAAAAACTAATCATTGTCCTCCTTGACCCACTTCTGACAGTTTTGGAAATTTCATCAACATTGGTCCATAACTTTTAGAGTTATGTTCATGACAGACAAACAGGAGTGAAAACATAACCTCCTTGGCAGAGGTAAATATAATTCCAATGAAGCTGCTATTCAAACTTTTAATCTTTGAGTTTGATATATATATATATATATATATATATATATATATATATATATATATAT